AAAACCGTAGCAGGAAGCTAGCGAAGTCGTAGTATATATCGTCACAAACAGAACTGCCCGGTAAACCGTAGGCAGAGAGAGAGAATATATATATAATGTCGAAGTATTGTTGTCATGAATGACTGTCGGATTGACTGACAGACTGATGGACGGACGAACGGACGGACAAACTGTTTATTATTGATGCTGACAGCATACTCACAGCCCAGAAAGAAGGACCCAAAAAGAAAAACAGAAGAAGCACATTAAGGGAGATGTTGGACCTGGCTGCACTAATCTCGAAATGTGCAAAACGAGAGTGTATCTTCTGCTAGAATATGGAAAGATACACGACCATGATTTTTGTCTTTTGTGCATTTCAAGAGTAGTGCAGCGAGGCCTGTTCTCTGAGACAGAATCAGCAATCTTCACTGATAGATGTTCTCCGAGACAGAATCAACAATCATGAGTCATGACAGATTGTCCTCTTCTTCCATTTTTTTGTTGTTTTGGTCACAATGTCCTCTTCATCCATTTTTTTTGTTTTTTTGGTCACAAATGAAGTCTCTAAGAATGTGAGGCCCTTACTTTTCTAGATCTATGCGTGTCATACATGAGCACGGGTCATGCTAATCTTCTCTGCTTTATCTTTCCAAAGGACGAAGCCTCTCTCTCTCTCTCTCTATAGAAAAATATTATTAATATTTTATTTGATTTATTTTTTACTTTTTTTCATTCAGCTCATCTCAGCTCAGCTCAGCATAGCACAGCCTGTCTCTTATACACATCTAGATGTGTATAAGAGACAGACCCTTGACTTGGCCGTGGACCTGGGAAAAGGCCCATATTGGGCCAGACCCTTTTTTTTTTTTTTCTCAGCCGCAGCACGACCTGGCACCTGTCTCTTATACACATCTAGATGTGTATAAGAGACAGGTGCTACACACCTCAATAAACCCAGCAGATGTGAAAATATGGTTCAAAACAGCTTTGGAGAAGTAGTAGGCCAGGGTTCCTTCCCCTCTCTGGTAGAGTCGATGGCCGACCTTCTGCGATTCCGCAAAGCGAAGCATTGTCATATCATAAAGACCTGGCAGGGACAAAAACAAGATTTTTGGTAAAAGAAAAAAAGAAAAGAAAAGAAAAGAAAAAGAACAAACAAGCACAGGAATATGATGGTCAGAATGCACCCATAATCATGACCACCTTCCTTTCTTTTTTACTTTTTTTTTTTTT